GGGGCTTGAACTCAGGGCCTAGCTGCTGTCCCTGAACCACAGCTCCACTTTTGATTTTTAGGTGATTTATTGGATATGAGTCATTTTCTGCCCTGGCTAGCTTTGAACCATGATCCTCAAATCTCAGCCTTCCAAGTAGCTAAGATTACAGCCATGAGCTGCTAAAGCTCAGTGTTCTTTAAAGGTAAGATCTTGATTAATGCTTCCTGGACAGAGATGCTTCTATTTGTGATTGCCTTTGTCCTGGGAATACAAGCGTGTGCCATGGCACTCTGCCAATCCTGCTTACCAGGTCACTTGACACATACCACCCTACCTAGCTACGGATTGAGATTCCAAACTTTTATGTCTGGGCTGGCCTTGAAGACTAACTCCCCAGCCTCAATCTCCTAAGTAGCTAGTAAACCACAGTGCCTGAGTGATACCTTTATATTCTCAAGTAGATTTTAGGTTTATGAATGACCAAATTCTTATATTTCTTGGTCTATTCCAAGTGTTTGTGTACTACAACTAGGTCTTTAGTAATTCATGAAAAGGTGAATGATGTTAAGGAAATCTGGAAGTCCAGTTGATTCATGTGTGAATTTCATTTTATGTACGTATTATGGATGTATGGGTGGATGTATGTATGTATGTATGTTTGGATGGATGGATGGATGTATTTTCTGTTGGTCATGGGGCTTGAACTCAGGGCCTGGAGGACTGTCCCTGGGCTTTTATTTCCCTCTCAAGGCTAGCACTCTACCACTTTGAGACACAGCACCACTTCCAATTTTCTGATGATTAATTGGGGATAAGAGTGTCACAGACTTTCCTGCTCAAGCTTGCTTGAAAGTAAGAGTCTCACAGACTTCCCTGCAGTGGCTAGCTTTGAACTCTAATCCTCAGATCTCAGCCTCCTGAGTAGCTAGGATTACAGGATTGAGCCACTATTGCCCAGCTTCATGTGTGAATTTTAAGTTTGAAAGTAAACAGAAGCAAACTTCCTCACAATTAAGAACTCTTAGCAAAACTTTTAAAAAATATACAAAGAATAGTGCACAAGATGCTGGCTAAATTATAAGTAGTTACTGATTTAGTGGATTCAATCTTTATTTTCTTCAACCACAATAAACTATCCAAGAGAGCTATGAATATGGATTATCAAGCTAAAAGAAATCTTTTTACCACATTTTATAAAAGTTGACTATTCGTTATAGACCATGATAGACAATTTGCCCCATAAAAGTTAGAATGTGTTTGTGACTTTAACTAAGCATCACTGTCCCACAATACTGTGAAATTTGGGAAATTATGTAATCAATAATCACAATAAAGAATTTGAAAGAAAAAAAAAGTTGAATATTCTAGCTTGTCACTGGTGCCTCACACCTGTAATCCTAGCAACTTAAGGTGCTGAGATTTGAGGATTACAGTTCAAAGCTAGCCAGTGCAGGAAAGTCTGTGAGACTCTTGCTTTCAAGTTACTGCCAAAAAGCTGCAAGAGCTGTGGCTCAAGTGGTAAAGCACTAGCTTTGGGCAACAAAAAGTTCAGGGACAGTGCCCAGGACTGGAATGATAAAAGAAAAACAACGTTGACTACTCTTCAATTAGATGCATCTCCTAAAAGTAAATGCCCACAGGAGGAAGGAGGAAGCATAAAGTCATTATGTGGATAATTGAGATGCTGGGAGCAAAGGCCAGTGGAAATTGAACCTCCTGAGTGTTGTTATCAGAATGAGTATTGTTTCACAGTTATATTGGATATGAGTGGTTTTCCTTAACTGCATTTTTCCAGAATCTCTGTGTCCTAGGTGTTCAACTTTGCAGAATGATAGATTCTTTAGGGGGACATAGGTAACACTGTAGTAGAATGTATGGCACTTTTTTTCCCTTTGGTGCTAGTCCTGGGCACTGTTCCCAAGCTTTTATTTTTGCTCAAGGCTAGCGCTCTACCACTTGAGACACAGCTCCACTTTGGGCTTTTTTGGTAAATTGGAGATAAGCGTCTCAAAGATTTTTCTGCCCAGAATAGCAATTCTCAGATCTCAGCGTCTGAGTAGGTAGGATTGCAGGTGGTTCCAGGCTGTTTGGCACTTCATAAAAATTTGCATGACACAAATTTGGTGTTTCACACATAGACTATGCTTCCTAGGTATCTGTTTACTAAGAGTAAACAAATAAACTAAGAGTGAACTTTCAATTCATAAATATTTCTGGGACCTTAGTTGATTATTTCTCCTTTTTAAAAAAAAACAACAAGTTTTCTTTCTTGACTGACCCAAATTGGCTCTAAAGAAAGTTTGAAGACAACTCCTAGCAACTTTTTTTTTTCTTTCAGTTCTGGCTTTTAACAATGGCCCTGATGTGGGAAGAAAAATTTCAATTTGTTTTTAACTACTTGTTAAATCAAAATGTAAAAAAAAAAAATCAGGAATCAAGACAGGGATGAGATCATCACAATTAAGTTGAAATATAAGTTAGAGACTAACATTTTTACTTTTTTGTGGTAGAAAAGACTATAGATGCTTTTCAAACGTCTTGAGTTGAATATCAAATATAACTTAGCTTGGGGTGAGGATGGTGAAACCCAATGTTACATTCAAAACAATATCAATTCATCTGTATTATAATGTCCTGCATACTCCTGCCCCACACTATTTAAAAACAACAATAATAAAACTTATAGTAGGAGCCTTTGTGATCTGAAGCCCCTATCTGTTCCCAAACCTATTTATTAGTTCTGCTTCTCTTGGCAATCACCTACCTGCCCACCTCAATTTATTAGCCACAGTGTATTTGCACATGCTATAGTTATTTTTTTTTTACTGGAATGCTATTTATTTACTGTACTGAAATTGCTCAATTTTTTTTTGTTTAATATCCTAGCTCTTCTCTAAGCTCCATAAGAGTTAACCACATCTGTCTTTCTTCTTCACCACTATATTCAGGATGCTTAGAAGTTACAAGTTCTCAACAAGTACTTAATGCCTTTAATGGAACTTTATTCAATACTCCGCTTAAGCATCCTCTTCAGGACTCTTGGTTAGTTACCTCTATCATGTGCTTCTTGTTCAAATCTGTTGTACAGTAGAAAAATTATTTGAAAGTTTCTTTTCCCATGATTGAGATTCCAAAGGGTAGAAATTATGTCATCTTCATACTTCTAACCCACAGCATTTTGTAAATCATCCAGCTTTTTTAGAAGAGCTCAAGAAATGACTACTGAGCAGATTATTGAGCAATGTTTGGGGCTGGAGGGCTTTTAAACTTTGGCCCACACCCATATCTCTCTCACAGGTATTTCTTGGGACCATTGGTTGAAGAAACAGGTCATTATCTTTCTGTAACCTTCAGTTTTACTTAAAATTTTAGGAGGAGAGATACTCAGTTACATTAAATTTTGTGTATGTGTGGTGAGTAAAATTCAAACTCTGTCTCCAATTTAAGTTAAACAGGAATTTAAAACAAGCAAAATTACCTTGGGTCTCTTTGGAGCATGTAGTCCTTCTTTGCTGCTGTCCTTAGGTAATTTATCATTTCAGGAGAGCAGTATGTCATGCCTGAATGATTAAAAAGAAAGTTAAGGACAAGGACAAAGGTGGGTTTAAAGCAGTTTTCAGGTTGGGCACCCGTGGTTCACAGCTATTATCCTAGCTACTTGAAAGGAGGCTGAGATCTGAGCATGAAAGTCAGTGAGACTCTTATCTACAATTAACCAACAAAAAGCTGAGCTCAAGTTCCAGTAGACACACACACACACACACACACACACACACACACACACACACAAAGTTGTTTTCAGATATGCATTTTTTAAAATTTCACTTTACTGTCCAAGGTAATTTTCTTATCACATCCTGGTCACTGTCAAATTCATTGTAATGCTTGTGAGTATATTCAGATAGAAATTCTACTACTTTTTTAGGATGTGAAAATTTTCACACGTTTCACAAGTTCATGGGGGGGGGAAGGGTAGTGGGAGAGTGTAAAAGAAGTCATAACCTGAAGACAGTAACAGGCATGTGGATATTTTATGGTCCTGGCATCTAAATTTATATTACATGCATTCATTGCATTAGCATATGGGTGATTGTTCTATGATAGCCTGCAGGTTCCTTCAAACTTTGCCTTGTCACTCTAAAGTTTCCTGTGTGTGTGTTTAAGAGTTCGTTCTTATGTATATGTGGGCCCCTTCTTGAAGAGAAAATACTTAAGGACTAAAAAACAGCATACTCTGCTGTGGTGTCCACAGTTGTTTAGGGATTTAAATCAGAAATTATGTTTTGACTCACGTGTTCCTAACAACTATCTTTGAACTAGATTAGGAAAGCAAAGTTAGCCCTCAATTCCACTGTGAACTGAAATCTGTGCTTTGGTTAAAGAGCCTAATGACACTGTTAGGATTAGATGGAGGGTACAGGCTGTTTCCACTCCCCTGCTGGTCGCCTGGGAATAAAGGACCAACTGTATTTCCTCAGTCCCAGCCCAATCACGGCCTGAGAGGGACCTAGTCTTTCCACATTGACTTCTACCTTCCCACAGCTTGTAGCATGACCAAATTCCCGCAAAGGGCTCCTAAGCTATAAAAGAGGTTTTGGCCTGTGAATGGGGACACTCAAGTTCCAATGAAAAAGTAAAGGGGCACCTCAATCCTCCCCATGCCTCAATATCCCCATCTGTAAAATGGGCCGCCCCTCCTCTCTCCTGGCTAGTTCCCAGGCATGTTCCATTACACTAGTAGGAAGTGAAATCCGTGCTTCAGCACAGCTGAAAGTGCCCTGTAAGGAGCTAGTCGCAGTGCCGGGCATGCTCAGTAGCCTAGGCCCGCTCAGCCCCAAGTCGGAAGCAGCTTTCAGTGCTGGGGCGGCCGGCCGGCGGCACTTCGATGAATCACGTGTGTGGAGGCCGTCTTAAAGGGATAGGCACCGACTTTTCCTCCACCCCCTAAACACCGCCCCGAGGGCGGCGGCAACAGCGTTCGTGGTAATTACAGCTGTTTAGGTCCCGGCAGCGGGTAGTAGCCACAAGCGTGTTTGCGTCGTGGGTGCGTAGAAGTCAGAAGCCTGAGATCTGCAACATCCCGGCCCCAGGACCCTCTCCCCCAAGGAGGAGGACGTGCTGCCGACTCAGCGCGGGGCAGCGCGGGGCAGCGTGGGCACGCGAGGGGCTCTACCCCCTTGGCTCCCCCGGTAGAGAAGGTAGGGTTACAGGGCACAGGTGACCGAGCCGGAGAAAGATGGAGCAGCCTGGGGCGGCGGCGTCCGGAACGGGAGGCGGCAGCGAGGAGCCCGTTGGGGGCCGGAGCAACAAGCGTAGCACCGGGAGCCGGGCCGCCAACGAAGAGGAAACGAAAAACAAACCCAAATTGGTGAGTGCTCCCGCTATCCCCGGCATCCAAGGGGGGATTGGGAGAGCCCGGGGTCTTTCCTGTCTGCCGCTGAATACATGAGGGAATCTGAAGGGGGGGGGTGCTTTCATCCCAGAAGTGACTGCGACCTCGCTCTGTTAAGTCTGGGATCCGCGAAAGGAGCAGCCACGCCGAGGCGCATACTTGGCGTGGGGGCGGAAGAACATCCCATTCTCCACTTAATCCATTTCTCTTGCTAGCCAAAGAGATGGTGGGGAAATAACACCCCAACCCTAACGAGGGGACACCTCGAGTCCGCGATAGTACGGTTATTGTTTAACTTGTGGCCACAACCCTTTTTATTTTATTTTGTTTTTGCGCTATTCAACTTCCATCCCACCTCTTATCACTTGCTGTGTTTTCCCTCTTAATTGAAGGGAGAGGGGAACCTTCCCTTCATTTTCAATCTGAATACTTGGGAGCCCACTCCGAGTCGTGCAAGTCAAGAAAAAAACACCACGTAGAGTCCCCCTCCCCCAGACTTTACCAGAAATTGAAGACATGCCTACGTGCGGTTTTTCTCCATGTGTTCTTCCCCGGGAACATTTCTGGAGGACAATGGGGAGAGCGTGGGAATTGAAAGCTGCTCAAGTGCCACCAAGTGAACTGTGTGGGAGTACTGGACATGGTCTTACACACAGTTGATTAAGAGTGCCCCAAAGTATTGGACATACTGTGCGAAGCTCCCAGTCCTGATAACTCTGAGCCAGTGCTAGCAGCCCATTTCCCGTCACTCAAACCCACGGAACAATGAAATCCATGGGGCCTCCTATTGCCTTGGCAAACACTGGAGTTCCCTTAACTTATTAGTTCAAAGGATTCCTCTTTCTGTAAACTTTCTACTTTGGGTGGCATGAGAGCCACACAGATTCCACCAATACTCACAGTTGAAAATTCTTAGGCCAGACAGGAACCATTAGCCTAGCCACATGTTGCATGTCTAGATTTCAGTTTTGAGCAGCAACAAGATTATAATAGAGATGGCGAGACATGTTCTGTGTTATTCACTTTTAGTTCCTATTTTGACTTTCAGTTACTGGTCTGTCCTTGGGAAAACAGTCATCAAAACATGATTGTTTCAGGAGATAGTACAGCCTTCCCTTGCTTGATGCAGTAGATCTTGATGTCAAATTTAAAGTCTCATCAGTTCCGAGAAACTTGAGGCACATTGAAAATCATATTTACTCCAACTGTTCTGTTACCTAGTATTTAAAAATAAACTGAGTCATGGGTTCTTTCACTTGTCTCTGCTAGTGGAAAGTTAATGTGTTTAATGGGTGATAAAACTTAGAAACGCTTTGTGACTGAAATTTCGAGTTTAATATCTTTTAAATTGTGATGATATGATTTTGAAATTTGTCAGTGATTATATTTTTTTCTTTTCTTTTGCCCTAGTTTAAAACTTCGGTTTAGTTGGTATGAAAAGTTAAAGTAAAAAAAGTTGGATGATTGTTTCCACAAATAGTTCAGCACATACAGCAAAATCTTTACCATTTTAAGCATTTCTCTCTCTTTATTACTTGAGTATATTCTTCCCTTCCCTTTAGTCATTTCCCTGGTTTCATCTTTTATATCTCACTGATTTTGACAAGGTAACTGGACAGTTAAGACCTGGTGGCACTTTGAGTTCCTAGCTAATTTTCCTGCTCCATGTAGAACATGGCTTGCTACAGTAGAGAAAAATACTTAAATCCAGGAGTTTGTAAATACCATGTGGATTTATTTAATTGTTTGGTTCCTCAAGCAAAACTTTTAAACCGTCTGTGATTTTTTTATAGGCAGATGTGTCAGAATTAATAAAACAGATTTAGAAAATCACTATAACAAACTTTGAGGCAAACAATGTGGCAAAACCATAAGATTTTGTTAACTGTTAGTCAACAGTTCATCTGGGGTTCTTAAAATTTTGCTAGTAAAAGTTTAGTTCAATGACATTTTATTATAATTTCAAGTATTATGTTAATCACTGCAATATTTCTTAATTGCATATGTGTGTATAAAGGAGTTGTGTGGGATTATAAAAAGAGAGCCCTATGGCTAAAGGAATCATTTGTGTGGGAGGTTGTGGGGGTTACTGCTTCTTAAACTTCTCAATTGTATGAGAACAAATTGTGTTTATTTTCTGAGGCTTAGAGCTTTTTATAGTTTCTCAAGGGCACCATCACCTATACAAAGAGTAAGAGCTGTTGCAATACCAAAGAAATACAGTAAAGGAAATGACAGTTGATTCTACTCTAAATCTGGGAGGGGAGGTCAGCCATGAAAGGAGAAGGAAAACAGCACTGACCACAGGGTGACTGATAATGAATTAAACTCTTCTCGGGGTAAAAAGTTATCTATACGAAGTCTATATAGTATGAACTAGAAGGAAAGTTTCTATTACATTGAAAAACACTCTTTAATATAATGGATTCTTAAACTGTAAGGTTTGTAATTCAGTTGTTTTCACTTAGTTCCTCATATTTCTGGACAACTGGAGATGAAGGCATATTTTCTATAGAGAGGTACTTTTTTCATTTATACCTTCAACTTTTTCTTGAGTATTAGTGAGAGTTTTTTTTGGGGGGGTGGGTTTTCAGTACTGTAATGACATGTTTAACGTAATTTATTAAAGTTAATTTTGGTTTTCTTCACATCTGTTTCCTCATGATTACCCCTTTATTTTGGTATTTTGAAAGGAAGATGAACCTGTCTTGGACTCATTGCATTTTGAATTGTGTGTTAGTAGTTGTCTTTTGGATTTTATGTAACCATCCCACATTGTAATATGCCATCAAGCAGTGTGACTTGTAGATTAATTAGTAATTTTGTGTCAAGAATGTACTGTATTTTGTTAAATTAAATACAATAGAGAGCTCTGAAAGTGTTGAAGAAACTATATCTTAAATCTTCCATATTTAAGTGACTTAACCATTAAGCGAAGTCCCTATTGCTGGATGCCTGTGGCTCATGCTTGTAATCTTAGCTATTCAGGAGGCTGAGATCTGAGGATCGAGATTCAAAGCCAGCCTTGGCAGGAAAGTCTGTGAGACTCTTATCTCCAATTAACTACCAGAAAACTGGAAGTGGCACTGTGACCCAAGTGGTGTAAAGTCTTCGCCTTGAGCTAAAGAGCTGAAGGACAGTGGCCAGACCCAGAGTTCAAGCCCCATGACTGACAAAAAAAAAAGTGAGAGAGAAGTCACTATTCAACTAACACCATGTGTGCATGTACGTACACACACAAGTTGACAATATTTGAATATTTGACTTTCCTTTTTCTTTTGGTTTGTTGAGACAGTAAGGTCAAACTAGTAACTAGAAATAACACAAGATAAATTTCTGTTTATTACATATCTTCTGGAGTATTTATTTGTTTAGAGTTATTTGAATAGTGTTTTGATTTTAGATAATAGGCTCTAAGCACAATGATTTCATTTATTCAGCATGTTTACTTTGTACCTATGACATGATAGGTGTTGCCCTACAGGGTAGTAATGTAAGGATGCTTAGAGTTCAGTTGGGCATGGAGTTATACCTGTAATTCCAGTATCCTGAGCACAGAGGCAAAAATACTTTAAGGCCAACGTGAGCTACACAGTAAGATATAATGTCCCAGATAAAGATGGTCATTGTGAGACACACAGGAAGTTGATGATTAAAGAGTATCATGTTAAGTTATTGTAGGAATATGCAGTGGATAGTGCAGTAAAAAAACCATAGAGGGCCTAGCACCTATGGCTCACACCTGTGATCCTAGCAACTCAGTAGGCCAAGATCTGGGGATTGTAGTTCAAATCCGGCCTGAGCAGGAAGGAAAGTCTGTGAGACTCATTGCCAATAAACTACCAAAAAAAGCTGTAAGTAGAGCTGTGGCTCAAGTGGTAGAACACTATCTTTGAGCAAAAGAAGCTCAGAGACAGAGCCCAGGCCACCTTCAAGCCCCAGAACCAGTACTTCCCAGGAGGATGAGATCTGAGGATCAAGGTTTGAAACTAGCCAGGGCAGGAAAGTCTGTGAGACTCTTATCTCCAACTAACCATCAGAAAAGCTGGAAGTGGAGTTGTGCCTCTAGTGGTAGAGTGCTAGCCTTGAGGAACAAAAACTCAGTGCCTAGGCCCTGAATTCAAGCCCCAGAACCATGACAAAAAAAAAAAAAGTAGAGGCATGGTATATTTGAGACCCAAAGTTGTATATATGGAAATACCAGGTAACAGAAACTCATATTTGTTTTTGTTTTCTTTTTTTTTTTGTCAGTCATGGGCCTGAACTCTGGGCCTGGGCGCTGTCCCTCAGCTCTTCAGCTCAAGGCTAGCGCTCGACCACTTGAGCTACAGCACCACTTCTGGCTTTTTCTGCTTATGTGGTGCTGAGGAATTGAACCCAGGGCTTCATGGATGCAAGGCAAGCACTCTACCACTGAGCCATCTTCCCAGCCCCAGAAACTCATATTTGTAATTATATTTACTCACTTGGGAGTCTGAGAACAGAATGTTCTTGGGTATAGGCTAAGCCCAGGCATTCCACATAACTTCTCCTTTACAGAGGGAAGCTCTATGCAGTTTCACGAGCCTGTCTTCCCAGCAATGACTAGAAGCCTAAAATAGGCAGACCACAGTCTGGTCAGGCTTTCAAGTAAGGAAATAAGACCTTATCTGAAGGATAACCCGCACCAAAAAAAAAAAAAGCCAAAAATATGGCTTAAGTGGTAGAGCACCTACCTGGCAAGGAAGTCCACAGTGTAAATTCTATTACAAACAAGCAAATTAGTCAGGGGACATAATCTCTGTCTTGCAGATATTAATCAGAAAGCTCAAACTTCTGATGTTAAATGCTAAGCAGAGGTTACAAACAAAAAGATTAAAGGACACTGGAAAGGACACTACAGTTCATAGTTCTATGATCTGTATTCTCTTGCCAATATTTTGAATCTCCTACTAATAACAGAAAAATGTTACTTAGCTCATCAGTTTTACTACTGT